CATCCCACAACTTTTCTGGTCTTTGGTCATTAGTGTTTAATGTATCAAATCTGTTCTTCAGATGATCTCTAAATTCAGGTGGGATATATTCAAGGTAATATTTTGGCTCTCATGGACTTGTTTCCATTTTCTTCAGCTTCAGTTTGAATTTGCATATGAGTAATTGATGGTCTGTTCCACAGTCTGCCCCTGGCCTTGTTTTCACTGATGGTATGGAGCTTTTCCATCGTATCTTTCCTCAGATGTAGTCAATTTGATTTCTATGTATTCCATTTGGTTAGGTCCATGTGTGTAGTTGTCTTTTATGCTGTCTAAAGAAGGTATTTGAAATGAACAAATCATTGGTTTTGCAGAATTCTTACCATGCAATCTCTAGCATCATTTCTATCACCAAGGCCATATTTTCCAACCACTGATCCTTCCTTTTTGTTCCCAACCTTTGCATTCCAATCACCAGTAATGATCAATACATCTTGATTGCATGTTTGATCGATTAAGCACTGTGTATTCTGTTTCTCTAGGAAGAAATCTCCTATGAGGAAAGGGTCTGTGAAGGTGGGAAGTTTGTCACTGTAGAAGTGTCGGATAAGCCTGTGGATGAAGCTCTTCGAGAAGCAATGCCCAAAGTCATGAAGTATGTGGGAGGCACCAATGACAAGGGTGAGTGTTTCTGAAGGGTGTGACTCTGATCTCAGAAGCTAGCTTTGCAGAGTCTAATTTCATCAGCAGAGAATGCCAAGGAGGGGCCTCACGGCCCCAGCTACTACCTGTTTTAGGGACACGTGAACTCCTTGGGCTGTGTGCAGAAGATCATTGAAGGAAGCTCTGGGAGACCATTTGATATCAGACCAAGTTTCCACCTCATTTTGCTCAGTCTTACTGAGTTCATGCGTCAACAAGTATAAAGTCATATTCGCTACTGTTTTTAAAGCCTACAGTGCTTATCAAGTCTTTGGATTGGTTGGCTAGGTGAGGTGTACCCTCAGTAAGCCAAGCCACAGGGGAAGACCAGCACCTGATTTGAGACCCCCGCACAGGCTGAAAACCCCTAGCATCAACCCCTGAGAGCTCAGATTCTGCTGGGTACGGAAGCTCAGGGAGCCATGAATATGGCACTTGCCTGCACACAGTCAACATGAGGGGTCTCAGAAGCCCAAGGCTGCCCGCTTTTAGAGATTTGGCAGTCCGTGCTGGTTGACTCCAAAGTTTGAAATGATAGCCTGAAGCTTTATGTAAGGTGTGCCTATTTGTGTATAAACCATATTCAGATTTGAGCTGGACTCTCAAACAGCTCTCTAATTTGATTACACTTTGGGATCATTGCATACCAAAAATGGGCCAGGAAGCAAGATGAAAAAAAAAAGATATTTTAATGTTTAGGGTATTTCCAGCATTAACCTTAGGAACATTTTCTAGGACCAGTCCTACATTAAAATGAGCATCTACGTTAGCCATAGCAGGATTCTGAGGATTCTGGGAGACTCAGAGAATATCTACTTTAGGGTCATGGCCTCATGGGAAAAGTAAGTTTACCAGTAAGAGGTCAAGAAGAAATGTTTTCCTTTGTAGCACTTTGTCATAATATTAAATATGTGTGTGTGTGTGTGTGTGTGTGTGTGTGTGTGCTGTCAAGTCAGTTCCAACATATATGTATGTATAAAAATGATAAAATTGATTAAAGAGAATCTTGAAAATAATAAAGCAGTACCTTTAATCTCTCCATTCTAATGCAATCAATTGCTGTCTTTTGGGTGTATTTCTTTAGGGCTTTTTTTCTATGCTTTTTAATGTAGTAATCATTATTATTAAGTGCCATTGAATCAGTTCCAACCCTATATGGTGACCCTACATATGATTTCCAAGAGCAGCTTGTGGGTTTGAAATGCCAACCTTGTAGTTAGCTGTCCAGTGCTTATCCTACAGTGCCAAACAGAACTCAATGTAGTGACTGTATTTAGGTAATTGTACTTATTATTTTATAATTATTTTCCATTGTTGTTAAGTAGACTTCTTAAGCATAATAATTAATAGCATATCATATTGTCTCATGAGACTATGTCCACTCAAACATAGTCCTGCTTTAAGTATTTACATGTTGTTGTTGTTGTTAAGTGCTGTTGAGTCAGTTCTGACTCAAGAGACCCTGTATAGGATTTCTGAGAAGCAACTGATGAGTTTGGACCACCAACCTCCAACCTGTGATTCAAACCACCTTGTAGTCCTGCACTTATCTTACAGCACTCCACCAGAAGTGCAAATATTTATATAGTTCCTGGTTTTTCATGATTAGAATTTATGCAGCGATTAATATTCTTATGCCTATGGCCTCTTCCATTAGATTATTACCTTAAAATTGATTTTTTGGAATGAAACAAATTGAATACAGATATATTTATGGTTTTTGCACTACACTGTGGCTTTTGTTGCTGATATTTGTCACTAAGTCAGCTCCAGCTCCTGGTGGCACAATAGAATCCATCTTTGTAATCATTGGTCCCTTCAGTCCATTGTTACAGCTCTACTGCACTTGTTAAGTGCTGTCAAATCAGTTCCAACTCATCACTACCCTGTGTATGGTTTCAGAGGTGATACAGCTTTGTGAGAACAGAAAGCCTCATGTTTCTCCCTCTGAACAGCTGGTGTACTTGAACCACTGACCTCGTGGTTTGCAGTCCAGTACTTATCATATAGAGCTACTGCACACTGTTGATATTCTTGTTAAGTGCCATCAAGTCAGTTCTGACTCTTAGTGATCCTTTATAGGGTTTCCACTGAGTGATCAGTGGGTTTGAACCACTGACCTTGTGGTTAGCAGTCCAGTGCTTATCCTACAGCACCATACCAGGACTCCACACTGTACTGTTATCTGCAGTACATTAAAATAAATAAGAGGCATTTGTGTATGTCTGACTATATATTGTATACCTGAAAAGTTTATTTAATTTCAAGAACAAAAATACTGTGTTGGAAGAAGAATGAGACTTGTAGATTTTCCACAGTCCTGAGCAAGTTCTATCCCCGATACCCAGCTTACTCTCTGTGTTTCTGTACTTTCAGGAATTGGGATGGGAATGACAGTCCCTGTTTCCTTTGCTGTGTTCCCCAGTGAAGATGGCTCCCTACAGAAGAAACTAAAAGTCTGGTTCCGGATTCCAAACCAGTTTCAGAGCAACCCTCCAGTTCCCAGTGATGAAAGTGTTAACATCGAGGAGAGGGAAGGCATCACCGTATATTCCATGTAAGGCCACAATTCTTAAGATACTGGGGATGTGCTTTATTTCCATTACCACCTCTTGAATCATTTGCCTGGAATTTACATTGATGATAATTTAAGTAAGAAATACTGAGTCCTGACAACTTCTCATTTTAATATCTTCAGGCTTCAACACACTAACATTTGTATGTTATTTTACTAAATGTCTTTGACAGTTGCCAAATTGCCATGGGTAGAAAGAGTATCCCTTTAGCTTAAGCTGAGTATCTACATGAAGATGCGCCTCTACAGTAGTGGTAGCACCGGTGGAAAACACCAAAGGCCTGGGAGACCTGATTTCTGTCCCACACTCCTCTCAAATGCCAGAAGAGTGTGGACCTTTTGTCAGAGTTGGGCTGCCCTCCCCTAGCTGTTCATGGCCTGAGGTTCCTTGGGCTGAGCACACATCCTTCCTGCTTTCATTCTAGTGTTTCCAGGGCCACCTGTGGGGTAATGTCCCCTTGACTGTAGAGAATGCTGTTGTTGTAAGTGCCATTGAGTTGGTTCTGAGGAGCAGCTGGTGGGTTTGAATTGCTGACCTTGTGGTTAGCAGTCCAATGCTGATCCTATAGCACCACACCAGGACTCTGACTGTAGAGAATAGCAGGTATATATATTGAACATTTTTATCCTTTGGCTCAAAACCACCTCCACTCAAAAACCAAGTCTTTTCTAAATAGCTAGGGACTCCCCATTTGTTAAAACCCTCCTTTGTGAGGAGCTGTGTGGGGAGGTTGGCTAGGCACTCACCAGTAGTGGTTATGAGGTGAGGGTTTGGGTCTACTCTAGAGCAACCTTCACAAACAATAAACATACATCTAATCTTGCACTGGGCAAAGTCCTGGTCTACTCCCAGGGCCTCCAGAGTTAATTATTTGACTGCCCTCCTGCAGCTCTGCACCTGAGGGTGAACCAGCTCTCCCTGGAGCTAACACTGATTCTGAAAGCATGAGCTTGGCTGCTCTGGGAACACTGTATTACCAGACACTGGTAATTAGGTGATGTGAGTGGGCCTCCCATCCTGTGCTGTTTCTCTAGGCTTCATCCAGATTTTCCAGCCCTCACTTGACAGAGGCTGTTGAGAAAGCAAACTACAATTCAAGGTTCGTGCACCCCCCCTCCCCCACCAAGGTGGAGCAGGGAACTAGGGTGCACATTTTAAGGAAGCTCTCACTTCACACTTATCCAAATACAAATTAAGCTATCACTCAAGGGTAAGCGCTTCCTTAAATTTTACTACCTAGATAGCTGCTTGTTTTACCCTAAACTAGACTTTGTTTTTCCACCCCCTTTACTGTTTCACGCAGTGTCAGATTACCCAGTGGTCAGCTTCAGGTTTGCATTTTTGGTAAGGGTAAGGTCAGTTTGAACCGCAAAGTCAGCGGTTCAAACCCACCAGCTGCTACTCAGAAACTATACAGGGTCACTACCAATTGGAACCAAGTCGCCTGCACTTAAGTACAACAATGAAACAGTGTATTTAGCCAATGATCATCCATGGACACTGACATCATAAAAACAGGTGACAAGACAGCGTAAGCCTCATGAAGGAAGTATGTATTAAAGTGCTGTCCACTTAGTTCCCACTCATAAGACCCTGTGTAGGGTTTCCAAGGAGCAACTGATGGGCTTGAACTGCCAACCTTGTGGTTGAAACTGATTTTGCAGTCGCATGCTTATCCTACAGCACCACACCAGGACTCCACTTTGTTTCATTGTTGTTGTTGTTAAGTGCCGTGGAGTCAGTTCCAACCCATAGCAACCCTGTATAGAGTTTTCGAGGAGCTATTGGTGGGTTTGAACCACCAACCTTGCAGTTCAAACCACCCTTGCAGTCCAGTGCATTATCTGACATTGTTGTTAAGTGCCATTGAGTCAGTTCCAACCTAAAGCGACCCTGTATAGGGTTTCCGAGGAGCAGCTGGTGAGTTGGAACCGCCGACCTCATAGTTTAAACCAACTCTGCAGTCTAGTGCATTAACCCATGGCTCTGTGAAATGATGATGCTTGCTATTTTTCACTCTTCGTGCATTAGCCAGATACTTCTATAAAGAGAAACTTCCCTTCATCTATTCTTTGGCTACCGGAGATAAAGTCATATAAAAAAGACAAGATAGCTGCTTGATACTTTCTTTTGATCCCTTTTCAGAATAATGATTCTGTTCACTGTCATTCTCCAAAGGTGGTCTTCATTTCTGAGTCTTTAATAGCATTTTAAAAATATGAAATTAAACATATTTGATGTGCTTCTGTCTTTGGCAGTTATTTTTATTGATACTCAAATTGCCCATCTTTGACCAGCAGGATTCTTTAAGTAGGTTTCTTAGTCCTTTGGACACAGCTCTGGTAGTCTTCAGTAGCTTCCTTGCTTTTTGGTATGACAAGCTGCTTCAAGCACATTGTGATATGTTTTTCCCTAGTGAAGGGTCAATGAAAAAGAGGAAGACCCTCTACAAGGTGGATTGATACAGTGGCCGCAACAGTGGGCTTAAATATAGAAACCACTGTGAGGATGGTGCAGGATTGGACGGTGTTTCATTCTGCTGTACATAAGGTTGCTGTGAGTCGGAACCAACTTAATGGTACCCAACAACACCCTAACAGAGCTGCAATAAGCCATTTTGCTAAGGAACCCTGGTGCCTTAGTGTGGGAAAGGGTCTCTAGAATAAGGGCTACTATTAAAGTCATGGAGCCCTGGTGGGCTGCTGCAGGATAATGCACTGACCACAAGCTTGGTTTGAATCCCAAGGTTGGCGGTTCAGACTCACCAGCTCTTCAGAAACCCTATACAGGGTCACTATGAGTCAGAACCGACTCAGCAGCAGTTAAAAGCAACAACAACATTAAAGCCATGTCTGTGGCAGTTTCCTTTTAATTCTCTGAAATTTAAACATATGAAAGTTCCTAACACCGTGTTGTTGCTAAGGGCTGTCGAGTCGATTCTGAGTCGTAACAACCCTGTATAGGGTTTTCAAGGAGCAACTGGTAGGTTTGAATCGCCGACATAGAGGTTTGCAGTCCTATAGTGCCACACCACGACTTAAGTTCAATCATTTTTTTTTTTTAAACCAATATCCAGGTATGGTCCTAACGTAGCTTAAGTTCCTCAACTGGCCACTGGATGTCGCTGCTCCGTCAAATGTGTAGGTCTGAGTACCCTACAGGACTTTGTGTTTCTGATTCTCTTGAAAGCAGTGCCAATGAAATAGTTAAAAAGAAAAGTACTGTTTCAAATACAGAGTACATTAGATGACAAAATTAATCCTAAAATGAAAGCCTTGCATCCTTAGTTTAGACTTCCACATTTTTATGATCTTGTCCACAAAGTAGTATTCATTACCAGTGCTTTTTAGATGAATAGAATGATGTGGGGAAAATAAAAGTTCCTTCCCCCATGCAAAACACTATCAGAATAATTTTATTATTTACAAGAGACTGTAGAATTTTCTTCACTTAGACCAGTAGCCACATGCCACACCATGGTCCTCTCTCTTGCTCTACAAAGTCAGCTTAAGTCTCCTGAACTCATTTCAACACTGGGTTCTCAGCAGAAGGCAACAAAAGGAGGCACACATTAGGGTTTGGATCAGAGCCCAAGCTAGCAATAAAACACTTCATTCTCTTGAGGAGGAGGCTGGTGGGTAAACTTTGGGTCCCCAAATGTTTAACCAGGCTGTCAAGCCTAAGAAGAATGTCTCATTGTGGCACTTAACTGCTCTCCACAACCTAGCCCCCCTCCAACGTCCCTTCCCTACCCTTAAACCGCCTAGCTCCCTCAACCTCCTCAGTCTCTGCCTACTGGAAGCTCCATTAGCATTTTCTCATGTTGTTTATTCTCTCCCCTCAGCACGGAGAAGGGGTGCTCAGTAAATGATAGCTGAACAGCACGTCCTTCTAACACCTTCCCTTCATTCCAAATCAGAATCAGTCCTCTCTGCCCACAGAGCATTCTGTGTGTGCTTTGTACCTCCGTTGTACCTCCGTGCTAGTGTTTTCTTCTGCTTTATGTAATCTTGACGTAGAATTCTGCCCCAGTTACTACATTTAGACCTCCCAAGGGTATTGTAGGAGCTGAGCACTGGCTGCTGACTGAAAGACTGACAGTTCGAGTCCACCTAACAACTCCACCTACCTTTTCTCAGCATGTAAGGAGAAAAGGTCTGGTGATCTGGTCCCATAAAGATTAACCCGCTGCCACCAATTCCAATGCATAGTGACACTGTAGGACAGAGTATAACTGTCCCAAAGGTTTTCCAAGACTGTAACTCCTTACAGAAGTAGACTGCCACATCTTTCTCCGGTGGAGCACCTGGTGAGTTCAAATCACCGAACATTCAGTTACCAGCCCACTTGTAACCCACTCCACTGTACCAGGGCTCCTTCGTCAAGATTACTAGAAAACCCAGTGAGGCAGTTCTACTCAGCCACCTGGGCTCACTATGAGTCACACTCATCTCTCTGTGGCACCCAACAACAACAGCAGGGTAGAAAGAGGGCTGTGTTGTCCTTATAGCTCATGTGTTCTCTAGCTTGGTGTTTTGTGCTCAGTGATACCAACTCATTAAGCCTTGGTCCTGTCTGATTGAATAGAATACTTTATTCTCTTAAGCGTCTGTTCCCATTTATGTGAAATTGTCAGCTTCTAGTCTTAGACTTCCTTTGCCCGGTGTAGTGCTGCATGCATACCAAGACTCTTGACTTTCTGTTGGCTTGCTCAAGTTGTAAGCAAAGTTGGGTGGTCAGGCTCAGTCCTCCTGTTCTTTCATTCTTCCTCACCACATGCCTGCTCTCTTAGGATATTTTGGTCTCCGCCAACCAAAAGCCTGCATCTTCCTCCAGCCCTTTCTGACTCTTCCAGTCCTTTTAAGTCAGCTCCCTTTGTGTCTCTGGAATCCAGGGCATGCAAGTCATTCCTCAGTTTCCATGGCAACTAAATTCTCTGGTCCAATACTAGTCTTTAAGTGAGCTAAAATTCAGTGTCCTA